CCTTATTCAAATATTTTTATTTAGAAAAATATATTTCTCATGATATGAGATAAATTTGTGTCATACATCACACAAAAAGTAGATGAGTCTCATTTTTTTTTTCTCTCTTCTCTTTAGTGGATCTCACTCGTTTTTTGTGTGTTACATGAGTAACATGATACAATTTATCTAATATAATATGAGAAATATACTTTCCTTTTTGTTTAATTTTGTAAATAACGATAATGCATTCATATCACTATTTTGTCATTTTTTTAACTAATTATATCAATATTTTGGAAATAAACAAAATGTGAGAAACTGAAATCAATGTTGTCAAACTCGAGTTTCTACGTAGAAACGAAAAGAGGTGATAGAAACGTAAAACGTAGAAACGACACGAAACGTAAAGTTTCTACTTTCTACTACTTAAGGTCCAGATACAAAATTATATATATGCATGTAAAAAAATATTACATAATGAACATGTATGTTGAGCCACTTATCTATCTAAAAAGGAAAATTAGTTTTGATAACCAAGTATCAAAATTATAAACAGTGATAACTAACAAATAATGGATAGCCAATATGCTCTAACTTTTTCATACACTCTGCAGATTTTGGATCATCGCTCATTAGGATATAATTCCACTTCTTTCAATGCACACGACGATCCAAAAACACAAAACGATTCTCACAGCATAACTTATAATAGAATTGCAGCTTTATAAGACATAATTGTAAAAGACATATATCCAAACAAAAAGATATCAAGATACTATGCATATGATTTGGGAAAAACGAAAAATTGGGTTTTTTTTTAATTTCTTTTTGTAAATTTTTTTTTTAATTTTTTTCTTTTTAAGTAAAAATGGTCAAAACTGTAAAAACGTAAGTTTTTATCGTTTTTACGCTTTTACACGGCGTTTTTACCAGTTTTTACTAAAGACCGTTTTTACTTGTGTTTTAACACGCATCACTCTAGTAAAAACGTAAGTTTTTACGTTTTTACACTAGTTCTTGACAGCAATGACTGAAATAATTCAATTCAGAATAGTCCAAACTGGATGGATTTAAAATCATTAAATTTAATGAAGGAAACAAGTTATGTCATCAATGAGGAGAGATGATAATTAAAATTGACAACAAATACTAAAATCCAACCAAATGAAGACATATAATTTGACTATATTTATTATGTTAAAAAGTGTACTTATAAATACAATTTATCATTGGATAAAAAATATATAATTGGAGCCTACTAAAAATATATATATAATTGCAGTAGAAGTTTCTTATACCAGTGTAAAAATAATAAAATTTATACTCATTCTTAACCGTTAATTTTTATAAATCTAATTATTATAATTTATTAAGAATTAATAATTAAATAACGAGAATAACCAAATCAAATACGTTGATTCTAGTGTGAATTAAATCTTATACTCAATCTCACAATTGCTTTGTTTGGGTTAGCGCTGGTGTGAAATGTAAAGGTGGCTTTTTCAAAAAGCCACCTTCAATGAAAACAATTACCCATCTTATACTATAATATTAAATCAATTAAACATATTTATTAATTTTAAGACAAAATTAACCCTACCCTTAATCACCATATTCAAAGTTAAATGAAAAAAAAAATGAAGATCGCTATCCCCAGTTAAATTAAAAAAATGGTGATCTCCATCCTCAATTGAATGAAAAAAAAATGGCTATCGCCGTTAGAAAGGAACGACGATTGAAATTTGAAAATTAGCATCTGCCAAAGTATAGGTAAATACGACGTCATGCGAATCACCCCGTGTTAGTGACGCCTTATTTTTCTAAACTTGAGAAAAGGGTGAGTTTTCTGGGAAAATCTTCTTCTTCCTCTTTGTCTTCACACAAAAACCTCTATTATTCTCTGCCAAGAACACAGAGCTCGAGAAAATCGAGGAGGGAGAGTGCTCAAAGGGGAACTTTGGATTCTGATTTTTTGAACCCTTTGTCTTTGGATGATTCACGGATCAAGAAGACTAGTTCGCTTACTGGGTATTTGAGTTCAAAGTTTATCACCTGGGAGATCACCATCCATATCTGTGAAAAAAAAAGAGAAACCTTTGTCCTTTTCGAGCTTGAGGCCTCCACACAAGAACGTGAAGATTCTGAACATGGGTTTTGATATCTCTAGGACTAAGAAATCTCCAACGAGTTCCTCTTCCATGGGATTTGCTAATTTTGAAGACTTTCATAAACAATGTTTGCTTCATAACTAGTTCATCCAATGACTTTTTGCAAATGCTATCACCATTTCTTCTTCTTTTTCTGGGGACCGGCGGGCAGTGAAAGTTGGTGGTTGATGGAGGAGGCAGAGCAACTATGGTGGGATGATCAAGGACAGGGCTAATTTTGTCTTAAAATTAATAAACACGTTTAATTGATTCAATGTTATAATGTAAGGTGGGTAATTGTTTTAATTGAAAGTATAAGGTGCCTTTTTGAAAAAGCACCTGAGTATAGGGTGGTATAATGTAATTTGGCCAAAAAATTATTTGAGAAATTCTATAATTTGAACTCTTGTTAGAAGGTCTCTTAGGCCATATTAGGTTTTTAATTTTGTACAATAGGTCAGGTCATGTCCATAAACCAAGTCTTTAATAGGCTAGAAGGCCAATGTAGTCTCTATAAACTTTACAAAGGGTTAGGATATTAACGCTAAAGTTTGGCCTAGCCTGACTCATTTACACCGCTAATTACTCTATAGTCTATATATGCTTATTTGTATGAAACTAAATCAGTAAATATATATCTATTAATATAATTATAACTTGCGAAAATATAAATGATCAAAATATTAATTTAAAAAATATAATTGACTAAAAAATATAATTTTAAATTACAAATTAGTAATTATATATAAAATTATAATCTACGGAAATATAAATTGTAAAGATTTAAATTATTGAAATTAAAAACATAAAAGAATCTGGAATTTGGTATCGGTATCGATTGAGACCGATTAGGAAAATAAGAGAAAAAATAAAATAAGATAACAAAAATAACATTGTCATGAAATTTATATTTATGAAGATGTAACCACAATGATACACAATTTAACCACAATGAACATAGGTAATTACACAATAGTTCTAAATGTTGAAATTAAAACATTAATATACACCAAATGGTGGTAGCTTAGTTGGCGCATAAGAGTTGAGCAGATGAGGGTGAGAGCATGTATTCGATCATCTCCAATATCACCTTTGGGATTGGTTTAAACTTTAAAGTCTTAATCCTGGACTCGCCTCGAATTGGACTAGTCATGAACGATGAACCAATTGGAATATTTCAAAAAAAAAACATTAATATACAATGTAACCCTAAAAGATGAGAGAAAAGTTTTCAGTTAATAATTTAATAAAACCCCATACGAGCAAAATTAAGCCAAATTATATCAAGGCTTTAATGTTTTTACAGTGAATGCAAATAAGTTATCTACATTCACTCCTAAAACGATATCATTTTGGGTTGAAAGATTAAAAAATTATAATGATAAAGATTATTAAAATCTCGAAATAAATTGTAATTATAAAAATATCTTAATTTTCATCCCAAAATGACATTGTTTTAAGCACAATACGAATAACTTATTTACATTCACTGCAGAAAAAACGAACTCTTATATCAATCATCAAAATATTTTTATAAGAACTAAAATCAATAAATAAAATATTATATAATTAAAATCTCACTTGATCCAAAATTTAATCAGGAGTCAAACGCAAGCGACATTCAAACCTATAATATTTTAGTTGACGTTATTTTTCTTTTTCTTTTTTGATTAAAAAATGGTGGCAAAATGTAAAACCACATATAGTTGACGTTATTCAATTACACCATTCATGACTTCGTGGAAAAAATTTAATATATTATCATCGCACTGAATATTTAGTGTGAGTTGTATTTACATTATATATTTGCAAAAATGTATAATATTAATTAAAATTATTTTTTTTACCTCTAAAATTATCGACTAACGTGAAGAAAAAGAAAATAACATTGTGATACCAAAAATGCTCACCCTTCCCTGCGAGCCGGGAGACACTATAATTATTTAATCACAGAGCAATTTCGCTGTAAGTTCTCACTGGTTGGAAACATTACGTTGGGTGAATGCACGAGTTTTTAAACAGTCGTGCTACTATTGCGTACCACGACTGATTAAAACTTGCTGTCTGAAAAACAATCCTCGTTTATAGAAAAAATCAACTTTCGTCAGATTAAATTATAATAAATCTTTTACATTGTCTTATCAATTATTAATTCTATTTTCATTTAACAACACACATCTTCAATAAATTCAAATGATTAAATACAAATAAAATCAATGATATAAGAATTTTCATATTTACACTTCTTAAGTTAATCTCTCTCACTGTATAAGCTACATTTGAGAATTTAAACCCTTTAATCAATGTTATTAAAATTGGTCCGGTCATTGACCCGGTCAATGTACTATGTCAATGAATCACTAGTTCAACCGCATAACCCGATAATTATATACAATTATATAATTTATATTAAAAAATTATAAACATACTCAAATATCTAAAAAAAATATAAAAATTTCAAATATTTTAATATAAAAAATAATAAATCACATATTATTATCCAATAAAGGATCAAATAAAAATATATTGATCAGGGCTTTAAATTCAGAAAATAACATCTCTAACTATAAATAAAATCAAAATTTTCTGCATAATGCACAATTGAGATAATATTAGTGTTGTAAGTACATAACTTATGTAAGTCAATAAACAAAAAAATATTCAAATATGTTCATTATGATTTTTATTTTTTTTAAATAATTGGATTTTTTTTTTAGGATCGGGCCGGGTCACCGGTTTTCATGAAAACGGACTGGGTCGCATCGATTTTGGTGCATGGTCGGTCCGTTGCTTCAACCGGACCAGTTATATGACAGGTTCACGGATCGTTCCGGTTTTAATAACTATGCCTTTAATGCAACATCAGACCGCTGATTGGACAAAAACCAACCATCGGCCCCGCGTTCCAGTGAAGTCTTTACCAGTTAAACGAAATCTGCTAATACATTCTGGTAAAAGAAAAACAATGATAAATAAATAGAGACCTAATGGTTTTTGCAAACAATAAAATGCGCATTAAAAATAAAATAAAAATTCTTGCTATGTATAACTAATGGCGAGAGCAAACTAGTACATCGTCCATCAGAATCGGTGAGTCTGAAACTGAAATCAGTACGAACCTCGAATAAAAGACTAGCCTAGTAGAAGAAACCCAACACTTTACCACCAACATTCTTTCTCCTAGCCTCTTCATGATCCATGATACCAGCAGAGGTAGTCAAGACAATATATCCAAACTGCATGATTTTGAGCAATATTAGGGGGATACAGGAGAAACCGTATTGACCGTATGCATACACCAAAATAACGGACAACACATAGTTTAATAATTGATATGATAGCAATCTCACATCTACATACCTTTTTATATTAAAGCAACCAAGATTTGACCACAATGCACTAAATGTAATATAAGAATACTACTACAAGCACCCAAAAAACAAGAAATAAACCGATTTACTGAGCCAGATACAACAATTATAATACATGCTAATACAGATTTTTTAGAACAAGAAAGAGCTGTTTCTATGACATTATTAGAAAACATGTACAGAACCATTATAATTATAGAACCACAAAGACTTTATGAAGAAAAAAAAAATCATCAATCAAAATAACAACCAACTGAAGTCACCCATCCTGAACGTTAGTGTCATGGGTGGAAACTTCAGAGAAAAAAAAAATATCTATTAAAAGAAGGTCTATAACAAGCGGTAGGATAAACTTACCACAAAAAATGTTTACCACCTTTATGACCAATCTAATAACCGTTGATTTCCGTCAATCTAACGGTTATAATTTATTGAGAATTAATAATTAATTACTAAGTACAACCCAATAATTTCCAATAAAGTATAACCACAGAAATCAACGGTGATTAAGTTGGTCGTTAAAGGTGGTAAACATTATTTGTGGTAAGTATATCCTTTCCCCCTTTAACAAAAACAAAGTTGGGATGATAGAATTTAAAGAACTTATTTTGAGCTTACTTGTCTTGAGGGTAGGAGCCTTGCAGTCCAACCTTCTATCTCTTTGACACCAACATCAAAACGGGGGCTTATAACACCGCATTTATTCAGTCTACCATTCAATTCAACAACAATTTTCCCAGCCCTGTGGTCATCAACATACTCGAACTCCCCAATGTAACCTATACAAAGCACCAAATGGTGACAAAAATTAAATACCCAACAGTAAATAAGTTAGTATTTTGCAAAAAATATATTGAGAAATACCATGTTTCTGCATCACCAAAAGGAATTTTATAATCACTTTCGATGATGGCCTAATCATGACCTGTCGCTTCCCACGTTTCTCAGCATTGTACATGCTCTTGAGAGCATCATTCAAGACACTCACCCTCACCATTGTCAACTACAAAAATATAAAATCATAACTAACATCAACATAAAGCAATGCTGTGTATATCAAAATGGAATCGAATACAATTACATGGATAATGATAATCTGAATCGAAATAAAAGCATACAATAACAACATAATAGAATACCAATAAGGTTTTGATTGGAAGAAGCTCTTACCGAGTTTCAGAGAAACGGCGCTGGTGTAGGAGCTCGGGTTGTCACGCATTTAGGGTTTTGGGTGGTGGGATACCCCACCACTGCTCCTTCATTGAGTCATGACTCGATGGGTTTGGATCGCTTTTGAGCCCAGGGTAGTTTCTTTTGAAATATAAATTGGGCTATATCATGTACCAAAAAACAAATATTGGGCTATAAGAATGTAAATCCAGGGTATTCACTGCTCTCTTTTTTTTTTTTTAACAGAAAGGGGCAAAGCCCCAATACAAACGAACAAAGAAAAACTAAAGGAAAAATAGGCAAAAAGCAAAACAGAAACTACAAATAGAAGCAGGAAAAATGCTAAAGACTAAGCCTCCTGCTCACCACCATCATCAGCTCCAGGATCCAGAATATCAGCGGCTAAAAGGTTGATAATTCCATTGTGTGGGGAAGAGAAAACAGTAAGACCATAGGGATCATTCATTGCCTCTTTAACTATCCAATCCACACATGTGTTACACTTCCTTGGCATCCGATTCAACAAAATAGTCCAATCTTTTACCAAAGGGAGCTTTCGAGTATCATTACCAACATTGGTAAGAAGACTTAAAGCTAGTAAAGAGTCAGATTCCAAGATAATACTCTTCCACCCTTGCTTCCAAGCATAAGATAGACCATGAAAAACAGCCCAGAGCTCAGCATGCAAAGGGGAGCAGGAACCCAAGTAGATAGAGAAACCACAATTCCAATTTCCACTCCAATCCTTCAACAGGCCCCCACAAGCTGCCTTGTCCCCAACCACAGAACCATCAACATTTAGCTTAAGAAAGCCTTGGACTGGGGCAGTCCAAAAGGAGGGAGAAAGGGAGGGAGGAGTATTGATAACACCTTTTTTTTTACTAACCTTGCAATGCCTTATTTCCTCTACTAATGCAGCTAGGATGGAAGAAGGATCTTCAGGTCTTTTATACCCATCTTCATGCAGTTCTCTGTTCCTCCAAACCCACAAGGAGTTACACCCAGTAATATAGGATCCCTCCAATCCTTAGCAAACCGATTGCTTAAATTTAAGTTAAGGGAAAGCCACTCGATCCAAGATCTAGAGTCGAAAAAGCCTGATGGAAGAGGTTGAAACAGAGGGAGAAGCCAAAATTTTTTTGCCTTGTCACAGTCTCGAAAAGCATGTAAATGATTCTCCACCTTATCAGGGTAGAATGAACAGCAGTTAGACAACCCACTCCACTTAGTTGTTCTGTCATTAGTTAGCATTCTACCATGGAGCATTTTCACATAAGAATTTTAATTCTTTCTTTGCCTTTCCAACTCCAAATTATGTCCCAGCAACTAATGGAAGGAACTATATTTGAGCTCATCTGGTTACAATAAGCAAGTTTGACCAAAGACTTACCAGGATTCCAATTTTTCCAAGCAATTGTATCATCATCTACTTCTTCTTCAGGATGCGGTATTGCAAGAATTTTATTCACCACTTCTGATCAAAGTGGTTTAACAAGTACTGCACATTCAGCCCTCCCCATCTAAAAACACTCTATGATTAGCTTTGTATTCTGCAACATCAGCTGTGGGAAGAGTAAGTGCAATGGAGAGGAGATTAGGGTTAATACCAACCCAATTGTCCTTCCAGAAATCTATCTTCATCCCATTACCAATTTGCCAAATTGTGTTGCTCAACATATCTGGCCAGATCTTACAAAGGCTTTTCCACATATGAGAATCATACGGTTTGCATACAACCTCTTTTAGAAAATCCTTTTTTCTCCCATATTTAGCTATAAGCACCTGCACCCAAAGATGAGATGGAGCTTGAACAAGATTCCAAGTACACTTCTGGAGGAAAGCTTCATTCTGTTTTCTTAGGTTAATGATCCCTAAGCCACCCTGATTTTTTGGAAGTTTAAGCTGCTCTCATCCAATAACATGGTTCTTCTTTGAGAATCAGAGTCTCCCCAGATAAAATTCCTTTGCAGCTTTTCAATCTCTTCACAAACACCTGTAGGCCTTAGGCTATTTTGCATGTGAAACATGGGCATGGCTGATATGACTGATTTAGCCAACGTAAATCTCCCTGCCATAGAGAAGCATTATTTTTTCCAGCCTTAAAGCCTAGCATTGACTCTGTCCATTATATCCCCATAGTGCAATTTGTTAGTTCTACCATGCTTCATTTTGTAGCCCAGATATCTGCCCAAATTTTTTGTATGTGCACAGCCGCTAAACTCCACAATAGATTTAGCAACCTCTGTGGGCACATTTTTAGAGAAGAAGATATTTGATTTAAGGTAACTCACCTTTTGACCCGACATGTTGCCAAATTTATCAAGGCAGCCCATAATTGTCTTGATCTGATCAGAACTGGCTTCTCCAAACAACAACAAATCATCAACAAATAGGAGATGAGAGATGATTTGACCCCCTTTACCAGCTGTCATTGGCTTCCATTCTTTTTTCTCAATAGAGTCAGTGATTAGATGGGTGAGCTTCTCCATGCAAAGAACAAAGATGTAGGGAGATACATGATCTTCTTGTCTCAGTCTCTACTCGGGGAAATACCACCAGCCTTAGAGCCATTCCAAAGAATTTCCAATTATGTTGAAGAAATACAGTTCATGATGAGGTTCACCAAAGACTCTGGAATATTTATCTCTGACAAAACTTTATGAATGAACTTCTAAGACATTCGACCATAGGCTTTTTCTAGGTCAATCTTGATCGTGAGAAAACCCCTCTTGCCTTTCATCCTACTCATTGAGTGGACCATTTCCTGTGCTATAACAATGTTGTCTTGAATCTATCTTTTAGGAACAAAGCTAACTTGTTGGGGAGAGATAAGTTTATTAAGGAGCGGCTTCAATTTCCCCACAATGATCTTGCTAATTCCTTTGTACAACACTGAACAGAGGGCAATTGAACGGAACTGAGAAATTTTGTCGGGTCTTGCCAGCTTAGGAATAAGAACTATGAGGGTTTTATTTAGTTCTCTAACTTCAGCAGGCTTAATCCAAATCCTCTTCACACAATTAGTAACTTGATTCTTCATAATATCCCAGTTTTTTTGGAAGAAAAAAGCTGGGAATCCATCAGGACCAGGGGCTTTTAGAGCATTCATAGAGAAAAATGCCTCTTTGATTAAGGAATCAGAGATAGGATATGAAGGGTAGCTACCTCAGCTTCATCAAGGGTAAGCCAATAGTTTTTAGTTACTTCCCAAGGTCTACACTCATCTTCTTCTGCAAATAATTTATTAAAAAAGAGTGAATGAGCAAAATAAGATTATCTTCTTCTCTCACAATCTGCCCCTCATCATTTTTAAGTTCAAGAATTTTATTTCTGGCTCTTCTGATGATTGTGGTTGTGTGATAGAATCTAGTATTGCGGTCACCATCTTCTATCCATGTACACCTGGCCTTTTGAAACCATAAGGCTTCTTCCTGCTCCAACACCCGGTTAAGCTCATCCTGAAGGGCTTTGTCTCATAGTAGTTAAAAGTGCCGCTAAAGTGGCGTACCCGCAACGTTTGCGGGTTGCGGTGGTCGACCGCGAGAAAAAGTGCTGCACCGCACCGGAAACGAATCGCGTCTGTAGCGGCCGTAACAGCGGAGAAAATCGCGTCTGTCGCGTCTGTTTTGGAAAAATCGCGGCTGAAATGGAGGTTTCTCTCTCTTCTGCGTTTTTAAATGGAGCTCTCCTCTCTCTCTTCTGCGTTACAAAGACGAAGACGAGAAGAAAACGAGAAGAAACGCACGTGACTTGTCCTTTGAATCTGATATGTATTAATAGTATTATAATATATTTTCCAAGACTTTTTACTTTATAAAATGGAGAGCTTTCTCTCTCTTCTGAGTTCTTTTGACCGACATACTTTTGACTCTATTATTTTGCTTTTTTTTCTAGTGTTCTATTTTAATTTTCTTTTCCAGATTTTTTTATTTTATTTTTTTGGCTTCTTCCCCTTTTTTTGTTTTTCTTTTTTACCTCTTCTGAGTTCTTTTGACCGACCTGCAGAAACTGAAAAGTTATTTTGTTTTTTATGAGTAGATATAGCCAGAAGCTGAACCTTTTTGAACCACATATTTTTTGTCCTATCAGCTTCTCTACCTTTTTGACCACATATTTTTGTATCCTATCATATATATATATATGTATATATATAATATATTTTTATATATTATCTTCCTTTTGACCGAAAATCTTTTGTATCCTATCATATATATATATATATATATATATATATATATATATATATATATATATGATAAAAAAAATATAGATAGAGAAAATATGATTGTAATTGTAATATCTGATAGGATAGGATATATATATATATATATACATACATATATATATATATCTTCTCAGATATTACAACTACAATCATATTTTTTTGTATCGGATATATATACTCAACTTATGAAATATATATATGGTGTATCTAGGTTATGTTAATACATTCCATTATTTCCGCAACCGCAACCCGCTATAGCGCTATAGCGTTTTTCAGGGTTGGCCGCAATCCGCTTTTAACTACTATGCTTTGTCTAATTCAGATTGGATGTACTCCGGTTGAATGGAGTTGCTATTTTGATTCTCTTGAATTCTTCTAAGAAGGTACTCTTTTCTCACATGGATACAACCGAAGACTCTTTTGTTCTAGGATTGGAGAGGAATAACCAGATTTCTCAGGCTTTGGGTGATCTTAAGCTGCGGGTCCTAGACAAAGTTTAGGAAGAGGGGGAAAGTGCTGTGATCCTGCCAAGCCATCAAAAATCTGAAAGGTCTTTCCTTCCAGTCTTTCTCTTTAGGAAAAAGAGAAAGAAGTAGGGGGTTATGATCAGAATTGAGACGGGGTAAAGATTTGACTTGGGCTTCCCCAAAAGTTATTCTCCAAACAACATTAGCACAAATACAATCCAACCTCTTGAAAATTCTATCTAGGTGAAGCCACTTAGGCCCCCTCCAGGTGAAAGTTGAGCCTCTACAACCAAGATCTAGCATGTTACAGTCGTTTAGAAGATAAGCAAATTTCTGACATCTGGCAAGGTTAACTGGAGTTCCCCCCTTTTTTCTCTTTTGCTGAAGCTATCTCATTGAAATCTCCCATCATGGCCCAAGGACCCACCA